AAATTAGAGTATAAAATCGCGCATCATCGGATTGGAAGGCAGAAAATAGCAATCCGATATCCCGTAGTCAAACATATTTATGTTATTTTAATAATTTAATAAAATCATAGTATGGATTGCAATTTACAACACGATCATTTGAATTCAAAACTGTTGTATTAAATTATTAATATTTTTACTTTACTCGTAATTTGTAGAACTATTTTCTGATTTTGAAATTGYTATCAATAAAAGATTTCACTCGTTTCGAAGAATTTAAAACAATAATAATGATTCATATTATTTTCAGATATAAGACGTTAAAATAAAATAATATACCGTTTTTACCAGCGCCCTATATTTATACGGCATAATAGTATTAACATGTAATAATTAATATAATATGAGCTAATAAATTAGGATTGGACGATAAGAAAGTAAAATGCATGACATTATTTTAGATCGCAGCAAGATATTGTTTCAGAAACGATAATAATAATTAATAATATTATATCGATGTAATCTCATACTTCCGTTGCGCGTCCGTCTTGTCCGTGTATACTTCCCGGCCGTTCGGTTTGCTCGAGGCGATTTGCCGGGAAACTAATACGGTTTACAAATATAAAACGTGCAATATAAAATTATTGTTTGCATTTAAAATTCGATGTTRGGTATAGTTTTGGTTTACAGCCCGTACAGGTTTCTGCAGTCAGTTTATATTGAACAACCATCATTGCGTTTAGTCCTTTACCCGGCTTTAACTTACAACTTTTGAAATATCAAAATGTTTAGGATAACTGAATTTAAACTGGCTTAAAAAAATCATCGATTTGTCCCCCACCTTGAGTCACGGCGTGTAAAAATTGTGCATCAAGAGGTTTCTATTCGGTAAAGCGAAACGACATCGTATACTCGTACGCATACATCACGCAGCAGTGACTAGGTTAAGTAAGTGCGTATATAATTACGACTAAGCGGCTTTAAGAGAGTTCAATATGCGTCCGATCGAAAAGTAGGTATACCTAACTACCTACGCAATATTGTCTTTGACAAAACCGTAAAAATTAAAATTTTTGAAAAGCGGGAAAATACTACATTAAATTGTAATAATGTATTATTAAATATTATTAAT